CAAGTAAAGAAAATTTTAAGTAAAATTGATTTTTCACGTAATATAAATGTATGTAGCTTTATAATCTTATTATCATAATAATTTGATTTATTTTCTTGTATGCTGATTGATAAGATAACGACAGAATTTAATAATTGTTTTATTAGTTCATATAAAATAAAGAAACGTAAATCTTTGTAATATAATATATTTGTATTCTTATCCTTTTCTTCTCTATCCCGATAAAAGACAACTAGAAAATCTTTTGAATCCATCGAACACAGGTAATATAAGGATTATTTTACTTTTGATAACAAATAAGTTATAATTCTTTTTTATTGGCTCAATAAACTAAGTTTGAACTCAAAATAAACAATCATAACAAATGGCCCCCAACGTGTAAGGCGTAAAAAGTATTTCTAGTTAAAATTTAAACGGATAGAGAAAGAAAACAGATTGATTGAAAATTTATTTGCCGATGGTTAAAGTTTATAATATTTGCTTTTATGACATTACATTTCAAATTTCTCTAGATACAAATTTTTACATGATATAATTTATGATATTTGATTGATTTTTACAACTGACAAAAGTTTTAAAATTTTATTGCATTTATTTGAATTTATTGCGTTTGGGATAAGAGGAAAAGTTTTCGTCTTTGCAACATTACTCGAATTTTTAATATTTGGCGGGGATAAATAATCTAACGAACATGTCGACCACAATGAGTCAAAGTAAAACGCAAGAAAGGAAAGAGGATAAGATAGAAGAGGAAACAATTATTGATGAAGGATCGGATAATGAAGGAAATGCTACAATAATGGAAGAAAGAAAAGAAACAGGGACGCTGGAAAAATTATTAGCAATGATGCAAATACAGACACAAACAATAGAGAAAAACCAAATTGAAACATCAAAAAAAATGGAAGAAAACCAACGGAAAACAAAACAAACAATGAGCAATATAGAGCAGCGTCTGGAAAACTATGAACAGGAAATTAAAGGATGTGTTGAGGGGATAAAGAAAGAACTGATACAACAAATAGAAGAGATTAATGAAATTAAAAATGATATGAAAGAACAAGAAATGAGAATTAAAGATAATTTGGAGGAATTAGAAAGCAAACTTGAAAATGTAATGAAAGAAGACAAGAAAGAAATAGAAAAACAAATTGAGGACATCAGAAAACAACGAGAGACGGGAGACGGGAGAGAGGTACTCATCCAAAGTCTGGGTGACATAAAAACACAATTTGGCGGGGACGTAAAAAAATTACACCCGGTAATTTTCATCAACAATTTAAAAAAGAAATTACGACATATCGGTAATTTCGAAACAGCAAAGGAAACGATAAGGAACCATCTTAAAGATGAGGCAAGTTTATGGTTTGATAGCAAAGAAGAAGAATTACAAAATTGGCAAACATTTGAACAAAAATTCTGAATTATTTCTGGGGGAAAATACAACAGATAGAGATAAACAAGGAATTACAAAATGGGAGATACCAGGATAGTATAGGTATATCAGAAAAAACATATGCCCTACAACTATACAACAATGCAAGACACTTACATTACAACTATTCGTCCGAACAGCAAGTGGAACTAATAGCCAGATATTTTGAAGATACCTTAGAAGATCACATAACTCTACAAAACTACAAAGATATTGACAGTTTATGTCAATTCTTACAAATACGAGAAGCAAAATTAAGAGAAAGAAAAATGAGGAGAACGCAAGAAAATTATAGACAACGAGAAAATCAAGACTATAGAGATAGAGGACAAAACTTTAGGAGAGAGTGCACAAGAAGAGAATTTGTCCCGAGGAGGGAAAACGAAAGTAGAGACAACGGAAGAGTAAATTATGAACAAAGAAATCGGCAATGGAACGAAAACAGATATCGAGAGAACCAGAATAGAAACAACAATCGCACATATCAGGAAAACCGAAATAATAATAGAACGAATGAACCGGAAAATCGCGGAAACCGATACGGGTCCGAGAGACCAAGAGAAAATAGAATGCGGTCAACAACACACACATAGAGGAATATGAGGATGAGAGACAAAGCGACAGAAGTAGAAGCGAACAAGAACAGCAAGCGTCTTTTCACGAAGGCGCTCACTAAAGACAAAGAAACAAACAGGAATTTTTTGTCACCCGAAGGAATTTATTAAATTGGCAGAAAATAAGGACAAAATAAGTGGAGCAAATCTGAAATTTGTAGATGGTTTTATCAACGAGACACCGATTAAAATTATGATTGATACTGGATCGGAAATTACACTGATCAACAGAAAACTAATAGAGGAAGTTAATTTAATGAATTTGATTTACAAAATTCCCAAGGTAAATTTAGTGGGCGCAAATAAACGGACTTTGGCAACGATAAATGAAGGAATACGAATAAAAGTACGATTGGATAAAAAATTTTATGCACTACAATGTGTTGTGATGCCAAACATGTTGCATGATATGATCGTAGGAGTGGATGAATTGGCAGAAAAACATGTGGTGATAGATTTCAAAAATAACACGATGAAAATCACAGAGAAAAAAGAAGAAGAATAGGACAGTACGAAAAAGGAAAAGAAAAATGAGAAACAAAAAAATGATTTAGACAAAGAACAAATGGTGAAAATGAATTTGGCAATGAAACAAGGACAGAGAAGAAAGAGGAGATTGGCAAAAGAAAGTGAAAAGTGGGTTTCCTCAAAAGAAGAGATGAGCCCAGAAGAAGAAAAAGAAGAAAGATTAACAAAAGAAGACGAAAAAGGTACAATTGAAACAGTGGTATTTGAAGAAGTATGCGAAATGGAGGAGGCAAAATACAAAATAAATATGTGTAAAGAAATTGAGGAAAAAGAATGAAAATTGATATGTAGAGAAGAAAAGGAAAAGGAATTGCGTGTAATAGTGAGAAAGTATGAAGATTTAATAAATGAAGAAAACAGAGTAGCCAAAGAGTATGAACATTCATTTGAGGTTAAAGACTTAGGAAATTTTCGATCGAAAACTTATCCGATCCCATATAAATACCGACAGGAAGTGACGAAGTTTCTACGGATTACAACAGAGGGTCAACATCGACGATGGGATAGGAAAGTCGCCGAAGTAGAAACGTATCTAAATACCATCCAGAGCACTGTAACGAAAGAGACCCCAGAATATATAATGAAGGGTATAATGCCACTAAGACCATGGGAAGATAGAGAACAAAAGGAATACACACAGATAATGGAAAATGTGCAGAGGAGATTGCGGAGAGCAAACGAAAAATAGATCCAGAGGCAAGACCAAAATAGAAAAAGAAGACCAGTTACTTTCAAAAAAGGTGAGAAGGTTATGGTGAGAGCATTGCGCGTGTCCAACATACCTAGCAACGTGTGCGGAAAGTTAATGCCTGTTTTTGAGGGTCCGTACATAGTAAACAATGAGAATGGGATAAATAGTTATGAGTTGAAGCACATAGAATCAAACAAGATTAGGGGAATTTATAATATCAACGATGTTTACAAATATTATGAATAAAATGCTGGTATTGTTTTTGCATAGAGAAAAATCCCTACATAATTCAGTAATTTTTATCATATGCAAAGGCGGGGATTTGTCATACTTTTTCTTTTCCAACCAAAGAAAAATAAATAAAAAAATCCATCGAAATAAAATTTCAAGATATCAATATAAACAAATTGTATATAGTAATTTAAGATAAGATTTAGTGTAGATAAGAATAGAAATTTGTTTGGCAAACGACCTTTTTCCGTTTCAAACAAAATTATCAAAAAACCTTTGTTTAGAATTAAAAGACATTTTACCTGTAAGTTAATCTTTTCATTGTTTGTATAGTCGAGTATTAAATGACCATATTTTAGTCTTTTGAAATATGTATAAATGATGTATTGAAAAAAAACCAATTTTAAAGTAAGCTATTTAGTTTTCTCTGAAACCGAAATTAGGCTTTTCCAAAATCATGGTAAACACAATTTAAGCTTTTTGATTGGACGGTCGTTTTTAAATGGGAATTTGGTGAGTCGATCATGAGAGAGGAGAAGTTAGTCATATTTTGGTCATCGAAAGGAAACAGTCGTTTGTCTCAAGATAGGGTGTAGTTCGTGAGTTTGGATACTGGCGTAACGAAAAGAAGTGAATAGTTTGAAGAAGGAGATAACAAGTGGATTAAAAGAGGTCCTTGTATCTACCGTGGGCATTTTATAAAGTATATGTGAAAGTATTCTTACGGCAGCAAGTTGACAAAAGGAGGTCCTGGTGTCATAAATAAGTAGCGGAGTTTGGAGAAGTGAATCAGGTGTTTTTTGTGTAGTCTGAAGGAGGTTTGCAGAGATGTAAAGAAGGAGCCGAGGTGCCAAAGAGGGGAGATCACATATTTGAGGAGACTGGACTTTGCTGGGTATGTTCCAACATACAACTCAAGAAGAAAATAAACTGTAAGTGTTTGTACAATTGAATTTTATATATGTGAAGGATCGTTTCGACATCATGGTCATTATCATTAAAATTTAAGAACTGAGGTTTTGTTAGGCTAATCAAAAGTTTAAAGTTTTGTGGTTTCTTTTTTCAAGTAAAAAAATTTTAAGTAAAATTGGTTTTTCACGTAATATAAATGTATGTAGCTTTATAATCTTATTATCATAATAATTTGATTAATTTTTTTGTATACTGATTGATAAGATAACGACAGAATTTAATAATTGTTTTATTCGTTCATATAAAATAAAGAAACGTAAATCTTTGTAATATAATATATTTGTATTCTTATCCTTTTCTTCTCTATCCCGATAAAAGACAACTAGAAAATCTTTTGAATCCATCGAACACAGGTAATATAAGGATTATTTTACTTTTGATAACAAATAAGTTATAATTCTTTTTTATTGGCTCAATAAACTAAGTTTGAACTCAGAATAAACAATCATATATATATATATATATATATATATATATATATTATATATATATATATATATATATAAATATTAGCATTTCAATTACTAACCTGGAATTGTAACATCTAACAAATAGGCTCTTGCAGGGCTCTGGCAAGCGTCAGCATTAAAATCCAATAAAACAGTTCCAATAATGGTAAACAGTACTCCCCATGGATGGGAATTGTTGTAAATTACACCAGGATGACTGTTGCTATCAAGGTTATTACTTAATAATCTAATAGTATCATTATTATTTTTAATGTCTTCTGCAATATTATCGTTATTTGTTATATTATTTTGTGTCTTATTTAAAGCTGATATTTGCGCCTTTGATGTATTTTTACTATTTAATGAAAACATCTTATTTATTACTTTTGAGTCTTCTAGTTCTGAATTTTCATGTTCAAATGGTACAGCATTCTCAAAAGATTTCCTATGGTAGTATAAATCTGGAGGCTTTGTATCTCCCATTTTGTATCCCAAGTATTCTCCATTTGGGACTAGAATCAGTCCTAAACATAAAAAATAAAAATTATTTGTGTTTTGAAAACTACCGAAACTAATCAATTCAGTACATTAACAATTAAAAAGTCATAATTAATAAATTAAGCTAAAACTTACTTATTAAAATATACTTAAACTATATACTAAAACTTCTCCACATCGTTAAATTAAATTTCATTAAATATTGCCCATTTAGATGGATAGCCGTTTAATATACACCACTGGTTATTGTTTTTTAGTTCAGGATATGATAGTTAAAAATCGCTCAAAGATCAAAATGTACTTTATGGCAATATGCACATTTTCTCTGGGAGTAATTACGATCTCAACTCATATTTATAACTTACAAGTTACACATAGTTTATACAAAAAAAAAACATGGTAACCGCTAGAATTTTAAAATGAAAATGTTCTTTTTAGTTTTTTCAAAAAGTCAATATTTTTGGAGTAATTCGTGACTAAACTTCGCAAATTACACGATAAAAAAAACAGTTTGTTAAACGGTTTTTAGCAGATAACTGCAACAATTTTAAATATTACTGGGAAAACTGTTTGGGTATAAAATGAAGCTGATGAATTTTTTTTATTATTACCATAAACTCAATATCAACAAAGTTATGGCTGTTCGAAAGTAGAGTTTTATAACTTTTTTAAACGCCTAAAAATAGTTTAAAGTAACCACTGGCAAAAGTGATTTGCACAAATATTCAGTCCGTTTGTATGTAACAAACTTACCCTCACCAAAACCAGTTTGCTCGAAACTATTCGTTGTTCATTTACACTTTACTTCATTTATACACAAACAATATATTATGAAAGTTTAGTTTTGAAAAAACGGGAGTTTAAAACAAAGACACTATTTTCGGAAGTTTTCAAAAAATCCCACATTTTCCAAATAACTCAAAAACTAAAAAAGATACAGAAAACAATCTTGGATATAAGAAAACAGCTTTTTTACGGGAGATTTTGATTTTTTTAATCTCAATAAAGTTAAAATTAACCCCCTCTGTGGCTCAGTGGTAAGAGCGCCTACCTTTGAACGTAAAGGTCGTGAGTTCGAATCTCACCTGGGTGGAGAAATTTTCGTTTATTAAAAATTATTAAATGAAATAATTTCTATCCTTGTGCGATCGGTACTCACCGTAGGGACCGCAGACGTTCGGATACAATTAGCATCTCTTAGCAAAGACAATGACGTCGACTTTGCTTAGTATCAAGACAATTACTCTACACCTACACACACACTACACTAGGTACCTGACTGTAAAAATTCACTGTACCATGCCAATGACCATTAGTTGTCGACGCATTAAACTCAATAAAAAAAATAAAGTTAAAATTAAACGAAATATGATGATTTAAAGATTGTATTCGCATGCGTTTAGCACCATCTTTAATCCCTTTCAGCAATACTCTTCTTAAACCGAATTGCTTAAAAAAAATAATACACACCACTTTGGAGCTATTAAAATAAACTATAAAGTGGTGTATATTAATTTTTTACGACTCCTTCTTTTTAAAAAAGGTTGCACTGAGATGATTTGAAGATGGTGCTAAACGCGTGTGAATACAACTTAAACAATAATATATGGTTTAATTTTTAGTTTATAGAAATAAAAAAATCAAAATCTTCAGATAATATTTTTTTTGTATTCTAGCATTTTTTCTGTATTCTTTTTAGTTGTTGAGTTATTTTGAAAATAGGGGATTTTTTGAGAAATTTCGAGTAATTTTGAGTTATTTTGAAAATTTTTTTAAATTCGGATTCTTTCAAAACTAAATCTTCTAAGCCAGCTAAACTATACCATGAATAACTTTTCCGTTTGAAATACCGTTTTCCGGTTATTCAACATCATATGTATAGATTTTAGTATTCGATGAATAAAAATCTGCTTTCGAACAGCCAGAACGTTGTTAATATTAAGTTTACGGTAATAATAGAAAAACAAATCTCTCTGTTTTATAAGCTTAAGTTTAATATTCTGATATTTTTTACGATAAAATCTAAATTTTTAGAGTTATTCGTGAAAAACCGTTTAAAAACATGGTTTTTGTTTGTAATTTGTAACTTTCAGTCACAAATAAGTCCAAAATATTGACTTTTCGAAAAAACTCTGAACAATATTTCTGTCTTAAAAATTCACTATTGTAGCGATTACCATGATTTTTTTATATACTTTTTTTAACCCTGATTTGGGTAATCACCCCCAGAGAAAAAGTACATATTGTCGTGGGGTAGATTTTAATCTTTGAGTCGTTTTCTACATACTACCAAAGAGAGTCTATATTCTTTGCTATATGATGTGGCTTCGTCTTGATGTTTCTAGCAGAACTAATCTGACTTGACAATGGCAAGTATGACCTTGCCGAAACGTCGTCAAAACAATGGTTTTTCAAAAACCAAAACTACTTAACGCGTAGTCAAACCCGGAAAACAACTGAAATCACATATAGCTCCCGCGGAAATTTCAAATCCTATATATATATATATATATATATATATATATATATATTATATATATATATATATATATAATATATATATATATTTATCAAATTATTCTCGACCGTACTGTGTTAATTAAATATTATTTGTAGTCTCAGCAATTGGTCTGTGTGAAATAAAACTCTATTTGTTATTTCTCAATATTTCGTCACGATTTTGTGACTTCTTCAGGAGAAAACTGTAAATTTATTATAATTATTATATGTAAACAAAATGAATATTTCAATACTTACAACTTAAGATTAAAAATTTTAAATTTTGATAACATATCCAATTAGATAAATGACATTTTTTGATTTAATTTATTTGGGAGTTATGGTAACCGCAATATTTTATAGAGTGAATTTCCATTGTACAATTTTTAGCGAATAAGTTTTAATAAACAATTACATATTGTGACAGTGTTATTATTATTAATACTGTCACAATATGTAATTGTTTATTAAAACTTATTCGCTAAAAATTGTACAATGGGAATTCACTCTATAAAATATTGCGGTTACCATAACTCCCAAATAAATTAAATCAAAAAATGTCATTTATCTAATTGGATATGTTATCAAAATTTAAAACTTTTAATCTTAAGTTGTAAGTATTGAAATATTCATTTTGTTTACATATAATAATTATAATAAATTTACAGTTTTCTCCTGAAGAAGTCACAAAATCGTGACGAAATATTGAGAAATAACAAATAGAGTTTTATTTCACACAGACCAATTGCTGAGACTACAAATAATATATATATATATATATATATATATATATATATTCTTTATCTGCAGTACACTCGATTTCACTTTATTTGTCAGTAAAGTCCTGAATTATTTTTGGAAATAAAAATTTGGTTTTTTGGATCATTTTTGATGAACACGAGGTTCCACATGAGTTGAACCTTCTTCAAAATTATGATCTTCAAGGTTTTTTGCTATAAATCCAGACTTTTGCATACTGCAGTAACCGTTACCAGAGCAATTATCTTATATCTATGCTTTTTCCATCTTTTCAAAATGTTCTGCGGTATTCGTAAAGCTCAAACGTATTTTTTTTATAAAGAATGTTCTATATTTTATTTTCAAATTGTACATTACACCTTGTTGGCAATGGGAAGTGGCATAAAAAGTGGAAAGAATAGAATTTTTACCTTATTTTTTCCTTTTTATTATTAAAGTTCTTTAGCTGAAATAATACTATCTTTGCTGTTATTTTTACATTTTCTTTATTTTCCATTCAACAGTTCAAGTTGGATATCTATTTTACTAGCAATGTATCTGCAATAAATTCTTTGGAACATGGAATATTTACTTAAATATGTTATAGCTAAAAACAACTACTATAGTCTGGTTCAATCAGCATTAAAAATATTTTCAGCTTCATAGCAACCCAGTATTTAGCAAATAATCCCTCGTTTTCGCACACTCATCAACCGCGGTATTTCGCAATGTAGATTTTCTTCGGTATTGACTTTTGACAAATGCTCAACTTAGTACAGTCTATAGGATAATTTACTGGTGTCCGATACCACTCCTATGCATCACATTTCATAGTAGGCATTGCAGATATTTTTATATACATACATATGTATTTCTTCTCATTTCGCGTTGTAACAGTAAAATACGGTTGTTGTTTTAACATAGTACCTGCGTAGCTTTTATTCTGAAAAATATCTTCGTCTAAAAGAAATAGTAAAGATTTTGTTTAAAGTAAAAGACGTTTAACAACTAAAATAGTTTTAGCGTGTAAAAAATAGTTTTTAGACAGTTTAACTGTTTAAAGTGTGAAGACCATTGATTTCGGTGTTTTTGCAGCACTAGTTCGAGCATGTTTGGATGAAAGATTACACAAAAAAAGCAGGGTAATAAGTATACAAATAATATAAGAAAAAGCTCTTCCTCTTTACGACAATACAAATAAATTTTAGATAACATAGTCAAAATGGCGGGAGAATCAGCTTCAGCAGATTAAGACGCGACCAACTAGGATCTAGCTAAACTTAAAGAACTCATAGAAGGTGGGAGATATTAGTCGGAACAAGATTTTAACGCCTACGAAACATGCATTTTTGGAAAAGAATAGTCCTTAAATACACGGCTGCTTAAATATAAAAATAAAATCCAATACTTCTTCTTATCGTCAATGCTTCTGGACATCCAGAATGTCTAAATTTAATTGATTCAAATGTAAGAATTGACTTTCTACCTTCCATCATCACTTCACTTTTACATCCTTTGGATCAGGAAATAATAACTTCATTTAAGCAATATTACCTAAGGCGTTTATTATGCCGTATCTTCGATCGTATGCAATTAGATCATTTGTATTTATTTAGCGTATGGATAATTACAATACGATAAAAGTAGTATTTAGATAATAATTATGTTCAAATTGGAATTGTAACCTAAGTTAAATATTAAATATTAATGTCCAAATTGCACAGCCATTCAATTGCACCAGGAGAACACTCTGCAAAATCTTGAAGGTCTGCGCTGTATCTGCGGATTG